AGAATATTATTGGAGCACAGTAGAAGTAACACACAAGAAACATGGAGGTTATTAAATAGTATAATCAAAAAGGGCTCAAAAATGAGAATTATCCAGACTATTTAAAAAAAGCACTGCAACCACATAAGCTAGCGCAATAATTTATTTTGCATATGAAACCAGAGGAGTTGTACTTACATCTTATGCCATCAGCTTGTCCTAGGTCACAGTTTCCTTCCACATAAAGCTTTGCAAAAACTGCATAAAAAGCGCTTGCAGCAACAAAAACATAATATTCCAGAAACACGCTTTACCGATCCGATCAGCTGTTCATAACACTTCCTACGTTGGAATAGACGTCAGCGCGAACTTTTGCATTTCCGCCATTACCTGCCCGAAACCGGAAGTGACGTCATTTTCGCGGAAATGTAGTCTTTTTTACTATCAGGGCCTCAGGGCCTATACTGCTCTTTTTAAAAGTTATCTTTGACTTTATGACTTTCTGTGTCGTTTCTGGGATGCTTAGGACTCATATTGCACTGCTGGAAATAGTTTATTTTGATGTATATGCTGCTTTTTTGCAAATTTGCAGTATAATTCCATAATTCCCTCCACACTCACCACCAAGCTGGAGCATCTGGGACTCAGCTCATCTATGTGTCAGTGGATCTCCAACTTCCTAACTGGCAGACCACAGGCAGTAAGGATGGGCGGACATGTCTCAGCCTCCACCACTCTCAGCACTGGAGCCCCCAGGGGTGTGTTCTGAGCCCCCTGCTGTACTCTTTGTACACATATGACTGTGTGGCCACTACCAGCTCCACCACCATCATCAAGTTTGCTGACGACACCGTCGTGGTGGGCCTGATCTCTGATAACAACGAGACGGCCTACCTGAAGGAGATTAGGAATCTGGAGAACTGGTGCCAGAGGAACAACCTCCTTCTAAACGTCAGTAAGACAAAGGAGCTGATAGTGGACTTCAGCACTTAGCAGGAGAGGAACTACCAGACCCCCGTCATCAACGAGTGCCCAGTGGAGAGAGTGGACAGCTTCAAATACCTCGGAGTTCACATCACGCAGGACCTGTCATGGTCCTGTCACATCAACACCGTGGTGAAAAAGGCCCGACAGCGTCTCTACCACCTCAGACGCTTGAGAGACTTCCAACTGCCCTCCAAGGTGCTCAGGAACTTTTACTCCTGCACCATAGAGAGCATCCTGGCGGGAAACATCTTAACCTGGTTCGGGAACAGCACCATGCAGGTCAGATGAGCTCTACAGAGGGTTGTGCGGTCAGCTGAGCGCACCATCCGCTCCGAGCTCCCTGACCTGCACTCAATCTACAGCAGGCGGTGCTGGACCAAGGCCAGGAAGATCGTGAAGGACCTCAGCCATCCCAACAACAGACTGTTCTCTCTGTTGAGGTCAGGAAAGCGATTCCGCTCCCTGAAGACCAACACAGAGAGACTGAGGAGGAGCTTCTTCCCGCAGGCGATACGGTCTCTCAATCACACCACCACACAGTACTGACCCACACATATGGTTCTTACACACACACTGGACTTTCTGGACTTTGGTTTTGCACAACACTGGTCACTATATTCTTCATTTCCGGTTAATACTTGTACAGCTGCTGTTATTGTGTATATATTTATTTATATTTATATTTCTTCATACATTCTTATATAGTTCTATATTGTGCATTGTGTATTTTGTTGTACAGTTATTTTATTTTCAACTTTAATTTATATATTTATCTTTATCTTATTCTTCCCAGTTAAATTTACCCTTCATTCTAATTTGTGTTGTACAGTTATTTCATTTTTAACCTTAATTTATATTTTATTCCTTCCTAGTTAAATTTACCCTTTTTAATTTTTCATATTTATTTCCTTTCTTATTCATAGCCTTTTCCTTTTTTGTTTTCTTTAGGTCACGAGCAGTTGTCCAAGCATTTCACTACATATCGTACTGTGTATGACTGTGTACGTGACAAATAAAAATTTGAATTTGAATTTAATATTTATTTTCGTTTTTCCTGCAGTGTATAAAAATTGGTGTATTTCAAAAATAAAACTATGAAGACACTCAAAATAAATTTCCTGTGGTGGGAAACTATTTTGTGCAACTTTTTTGTATTTACAGTTTTGAGGGATAAGCCTCTTAAATTTCTCTAACTACAAATATATGTTAAAAAAGCAAAAACGATTTTCAATTTTTTTGTAGTTTATTGCACTTTTTTGCAATTTATGTAATTACTATGCACTTAATGAATACATATTATTAAAATCTGGGCTATAATGGTTGTATTGATGTATAGCAACTTGAAATGCTCCCAAAAATGGCTCCACAGCATGTAAAAATATAATATAAGCTCTGGCGGACTTGGTTCTATGGTAGGTCTTAAAGGGTTAAAGACCAATATCACTACTCCCACAGTTCTCAAAAATCTTAGAAAAATTATTTGTTAATAGAATTGATGAATATATAGAGAAGCATAATCTCCTAAGTGATAACCAATATGGCTTTGGAGCAAAAAGTCCACTCCGATGGCAGTGATGGAATTCGTAGAAGGGATATCTACTGCAATAGATAATAAGGAATATACTCTTGGTGTTTTTATAGACTTAAAAAAGGCATTTGATACAATTGATCATACTATATTAATGAATGTATTAGAGAGATATGGTATAAGAGGGATAGCATACAAGTGGATGAAAAGTTACCTGGATAACAGATATCAATATGTTGAAATGAATAATATAAAATCTAATCAGTTGAAGGTAACTTATGGTGTTCCTTAGGGCTCTGTGCTAGGCTCAAAATTATTTGTATCATATATAAATGATAAATGTAATGTTTCCAAACTGTAAAATGTGTATTGTTTGCTGATGACACCACTCTGTATTGCTCAGGTAAAAACCTAGAACAGCTTCTGACTACAGTGGAAAAGGAGTTAAATATATTATAAACTAGTTTGATATAACCAGTGTTGGGAAGGTTACTTTTAAAATGTATTCCATTACAGAATACAGAATACATGCCCCAAAATGTATTCTGTAACGTATTCCGTTACGTTACTCAATGACAGTAACGTATTCTGAATACTTTGGATTACTTAATATATTATCATGCTTTTTACAACAACGTGAATGTACTATTGCTGTGTGATTTATTACTATTACTGAAGGTCCGCGACTAATACGGCGGGGTCCCTGTCGGCTTGTAGCCGAAAAATAGCTTTACTTTGTTGTGTGGGTCAACTTGCACTTTGGCTAAGCTTGCGACAAACCACTCATGGAGCATTGGGGACTCAGTAAGTCTACCTCGGACATATTGACTGACACAATGCCGAGTGAATTGCAACAAACTACAGACCTATTAATATCGTTGAGAAGACGCACTTTACATAGCTATGGTTCCATGTCTCAAGGACTTGAAGTGCCTCCCAAAGAGTGAGTGGATAAATGTTTACAGAGTTTTTTTGTTAACATGAATGTTCAAGATGTTCAATAAACATGTTAAGTACATATATAAATGAATATTTAATCGTGATCAATCAAAATTAATCCACAGTAACCCTGTGATGAATCTGATTAAACATGTTAATTGTTTGACCGCACTAATACATTCTATATATTAGTGTATACTTACCTACTAGTATATAGGTTTTTGCATTTCACAGGAGAGAACCTGTGCTAAAAGACTAAAGAAAACTATTAAAGTTCTCTTTGAATTTAAGCATACACTGTTAAAAAAAATTCCGTTATAAAACGGAAAAAGTGCTGGTAATTAATTACCAGCACTTTTTCCATTATTGTACGGGCACTTCCGTAAACCTTAAAACGGATATTTCTGTAGATTTACCCGAGTTTTTCTGTACCATTGACGGACATTTCCGTCAAACCTAAAATGGAAAATTCCGTATTTTCCATAAATTTCGGCGTTATTGCACAGACAATTCCATAAACCCTATAACAGATATTTCCGTAGATTTACCTGACTTTTTCTTTACCATTTACGGACAGTTCCATCAAACCTAAAATGGAATATTCCGTATTATTTAAGTACTCAATCCATACCATTTACGGACACTTCAGTCATCCTAAAATGTTTAATTCTGTACCATTCTCTATACCGTTTACCATCAATAAAGCACAAATGTAGAATCACAGCAATTATTTATTTCCTTTAACAGCTGCCAGTGCTTTAAAGTGATTTCACTTTTTGTGGTGAATGATTTGCAATATTTACATTACAACCATTAAAACATTCAGAACATCACCTTCACATTCAGAGAAATTTTACATACATAAACCAGCTGTTTTCTCAAAGAAGTACAGAATGTCCTTTAACAGGGAGATGCCAAATCTAGCAACTTTTTAGCATCCACAGGCTGACAGGCATTAATAACAAATTGATTTGTTAAAGACAATGACAAAATAAGACAATAAAACTGCCAGCATTGCTGTTGCTGTCTCACCTGTCAGTGCAAAATGAGGAGCCCCCTCCAGGAGGATGCAGAAACCTACACCTCCAACTCCACATATCACACTGACAGGCAGAGCTCTGCAACCAGTGGCTGACCTTTCTACAAAAAACAAATAGAACATTAGAAGTACTACATTATACAACTTTTCTATAAAACATCAGTGCAGCAATAACAACCATGACCTTAGAAGGATGACTGTGCAACATGCCATAAAGAGATTTTTAAAACTCTTAAAACAACTTAAAACTAAAAAAAAATTAAAACTTACACCTCCAACTCCACAATGACAGGAAAAGCTTAACTGGAATGACAAATATCGCCCACCTTCCCTCCCCCTTAACATGGGGGATTTGAAACTGCAGCATGTGTGTTGTGGGCATCTAGTTAAAACATCTGAACTCACCTAATACTGTAAAAATCTGTATTTCTACTCCCAAGCCCCATGTTTTTGGATTTGCCTTTGTGTGTGTGTGTGTGTGTGTGTACATTCAGTCCAAAAAGGTATTTTCTGAGATCTGAGAACAGCTCAAATGGCCCATTCAGATTCCTTCTGCTTGCATTCAAATTCCTTCAGCTGAGAAACCAGCTTGCACACCTGTGGAGGAATGAAGTGCCGTTTCTTCCCCTTCTTCTCTGCCTTAGAGCCTCGCTCAGGATTGACCCCAAAGAAAACTCTGAGGGAAAAAAAAAAACAATAGTGATATGCAGACAAAGTTTGCACATGTAGTGTGGCTTGACAGGAGTGGAGCAGTTCAATAAAATCCTACATTTGTTTTCTTCAATATGCCCCTATGTGTGAACCTCTCTATCATTCTAGTTGACCATCTGTCTAGAACCCAATGTTGTTGTGGTGCTGGTGCCAGTGGCTAAGCTTATCTCTTCCTTTGTCTTTTCAAGACACATGCATTCACACTGTGCATATACAGAAATGTTTGCAAGGGTGAGAAGTCTGCTTATCACCAACACATGACAGCATGCATCCTCAATGTGTATGCAGGGATATTATAAATGCACAGAACACAGAAGGGGATAGAAAACACAGTTGACATTGTCCTATCAAAAGGTGTAACAGCACATTTGAACACGGACTGTCCTGGGGGTTATTCAAACATGGAGTGGAGAAACTGTGACATTCAGTGCACGTTACACATCAGTACAAGTATTAACATTTGGGCATGAATCCACTAGTAGTGTAGTATTTTTTAAATTAATATGTTTAGTCTTTCCTTCGGGGGGGGGTCCCTGGAACAACATATTTTGAGTTTGGGGTCTGCAGCCAAATAAATTTCAGTTTGTGTGTCTTTGACATGAAAAGGTTTGACCACCACTGACATAACCTGGTCTCAGGTGCTAATGGTTTTAAAGAGATAGCTCAAACGAATTTTGTGTCAACAAACCATTCTGAGAAAAATATGTTTTTGCTCCATTTCCCAACTAGAATCATGTTATGTTTGTTTTGTTATTGATTGACTTAGGACACTATTTAAACCAAAAAGCATGTTACCTGCCCTTTAAAAAGATATGACACATTTATTCCAACAATAGTCTTCAACAGGGAGCTACAAAATCTCTGAACAAATCCATATTCAGGGGGATCATAAGCCAATAACAGCTGATCTAAAAGCTCACAGCATGTGACGACACATTTTGAGCTTGTACATCTCAGACAAATGGGTTTAGTGTAGATTGACAAAAAGCAGGTCAGGTGCAGAAAGGCACGGCAAAGTCACATTTACAAAGTATTTCCAAACAATGAGTGCTTACCTTTGCATGAATTCGAGAGTAAAAGCCATCTCCGGTGGGTATTGGACGTTGCAGACATAAAACATGGAGAAGACGTAGCTCAAGGCCACAATGGGAGAGGTGATGTGGTCATTGACAAGTAACCCATCAACAGCAATCTTGAATTGCTGGTCACCTTAAACACAGATAAAAACCATGTACCATTTACAAAAAAAAAAAAAATCCTATATTTTAAGGCAAGCAAAACATTTCTTTAATAAATATGACACAACAACAGCTTATAACAACAGCTAACAACAGCTTGCTGGGATACAAAAAAAGATTTAACTACAAACCTCTGATTAGGATGCATGGGGTCACTGGGAGTTCGACTTCAGGATCTGCAGAGATCTGTTTTGGTGACAGACATGATACATGAATTAATGTTTCCAGTACACACAAACCTGCTGGCAAATTGACTATCTGCTAGTGTCTTCATCAGACAGAGGTAGCCATTATGCACAGACATTAATGTAAATAGTTTATAGATAGAGAGTTTATATCAGCAGCACAATTAGGGGAATCTATACTTCCTACTGTGGTTGGTTACTTGGTTCACCACTGGATGCAAATAATTATCTTGCACACAGTTTAAAATCTACAACATCTACCTCTTTTTTGTGGAAGAGTTTATAAGAGTCTTCCTTGAAGTATTTTGAAATGCCACAGATGAGCTGTATTGGACCTTCGCCCATCTTCATCCCTTTGGAGTCAAGGAAGTCATTGATCCCCTTTTCTTTTTTGGAAAGTTCCTGTTCAAGGTTCAAGGTGTTAATTTTGTACAAGTACATAAGACTAACACTCATTTTCGTTTGGAGCTATGGAGAAAATTTTGAAAAAAATAAAAATAAAAATGAATTATTTCATTTTCATTTGCAACCTGTTCTGTTTTGATCTCAAATGTCCTGCTTTTTTGGTTGTCACTTCCTGATTTTTGGTCTCAAATCTATTCCATTTGATTGTTCATCCAAGTTATTCTATTTGATTGGTTGCCAGTTTATCTTTTTTGGTCTCAACTCTCTTTTTGGTTGCAAATCTTTTTCTGATTGATTAATAAAGACAAAATTCTCTCCATATGGAGCAGCACAGCACAATCATAATAATAACAATAACAACACACCTGTGCCAGCTTGTTTTGTACAGAGAAGCCAAGGAGTTTAGATGCATGATCAAACAGGTGAGGAACTTCAAACAGGAACGGCCACTCGTCCTTTACAACGGCAATAGTGGTATCATCATCGTTGAGGATTTCACGCTGAATGGGATATGTTTCAGTCATCAATTTTCGAACAGATGACTCCTAAAGATATGAGGCAGTTAGACAAACAGTCGAACAGTTAGTCAAACTAACCAATTAAAATAATAAAACAGGGTATCAATTTCAATTGACTATGGGCATAGTGATCTACAGACGATCTACAATTTCACAATGTGTCCTAAATTGTACTTGGACCCAGACCTTATCGCATTACTCCTGCTATATACTATTGCTGTGTGAATGGTTGTATGTCTAGATGGTGGACTGTAGGAACCGAATTGCCCTTCGAGGATTAATAAAGCTTTCTGTATCTGTAATGGATGATTGCAGACCCACCTGAAGATCCTGGGTTTGAAAGGCACGTTTCAACTCATCTCGTTTAGACAGCAGGTCTTCTCTACACACGGCCCCCTCAATGATTGGATCCCACGCCACACATCCATACAGATCTGAATTCCTGGGCCTTTTCTTTGTTGAATTTTCACCCCCTGCTTGCCTCTTCAGTGAGCTTTGTGGCCTCTTCATATTTTCAATTCTGTGTTCCAGCTGACGAAAGAGAGTTTCAGAACCATCTTTTGCAAAAGGTTTGTTTCCAAACGGCTCTGTCAGCTTGAAGGAGGCAGGATATTGTCCTACAATCATACTGGCGAGTTCCCTCAGCTTTTGTCTACCAGGTCTTCCTGGGTGTTTATGGAGGTAATCTTCAGCGACGATCCGAACCATCTCTCGTCTGTCTTTCCCCATTATGTACTTTTTTTCACGCAACTCATCCATGACTTTTGAGGGAAATTTGTGCCATGGTACAGAATATGCGTCTTGGGATGGGAGTCGGCTGTCTCAGGTGGTGTTGAGGGCAGCTGAAACCTCTGTGGTTCAGGTGTTGATGAGGGCCAGGCCGGGTGAACTGCGGTGGAGTTTGTGAATCTATGGATGACATGACAAACATCTCCATAAATTAAACACATCACAATTGTTGCAAATCAATTAATACATTGGTCCTCAATGTCCAGTTTGGGTCAACCAGGAATACAAATGGACCTAATTATGAAAACCAATTATAGAGTAATTATTGCCATGTACAGCTGATGGCAACTTTTTTTTTGCATTTTTGGAATAAACCTTTGTAGTTTCAGAAAACTTGCATTAAAACAGAGGGGCAAAAACTCACCTGCTTCCAATGCTTTGACAGCTCTGACGAATCTTTTGCACTGAATGAATGGCAGAGTGTCTTTAATGTCCTCCGGGTCCACAAGGCTCAGGTCATCTACAGAGAGAACTCCTAATTCCTCCAGTTTAGCCATGAGTGTATCCATCTGATCGCTACTGAGCGATGGCATTGCTTTCTTGACATAGTTTTTCACAAGTTCCATGTTGGTGTGTGTTTAAGAGGAATGAGCCATCGAGTACCTCTCTGGTAAGAATAAAGTGGATGATAATCATCAAGTTTGTTCAAATTATGGCAACTGAACAGGTCAGAAGCATTTTCATCAAGTTCATAGAGTCCAAGATCAGGTATCCAGCTGGCAGTTTTCCCTCGAAGCAAAAGTAGGACAGTAGTTTCATTTTTTACAAAAATGCTTGCTATTTGTCCTAACTGCAGTAGTCCTTTGGCGTAGCTCAGTAAGACCAGCATTCCATTTGCATATGTAGTGCCTTTAACCTGCACACTCTCTGTGACAACTGAGTTACTTGAGTTCAAATCAAATTCTCCAACCACTGTCTTTATGTTCTGGTCATAGAGCTCTGGATAGAACCGTGTTGAGTCTGAGACATGAACCTGGGAACGAAACAAGGTACCACAAGACTGATAAGCCTGAAGCAACTGGTGCCGTTCAGCCAGAGACTTGGTTACATTTATGAAGTTCTTACTTGCCCTAATGCACCTTTTAAAATAAGAATGTAATGCCTTGTGCATAGGGCTCTGCTCGTATATACTATTCCCAAGAGATGTTACAGTCTCCCTTGGAACACCATACTGCCCCAGTTCACAGGCTAGTGCATCCACAGTATATTCCTGTTGAATATCACTTATAGTTCTCATTTCATTTGCTATTTCTGTTATTGTGGAGGCTGGAACCAAATATTTTGCCTGTAAACCCAAGTAAAACTGAGCAAGACTCTCTGTGAAGTTGTCTTTCACTTGATCACTGCAGAAATTATCACTTTGTTCTGCATCAATGTTAAAACTTTCAGGTTCTTCAGGTTCTACATGTGATCCTTCACCTTGGAAAGACCGTTCTGTTAGTTCACATATATGAACTGGGGCTATCTTGGTAACATCCCACCCTTTATGGTATCTGGAAATATGCGTTAAAAAGGATGACTTTACATTGAATGTCTTAGAACATCCATCAAAGGGACACGTTACAGTCAAACCCTCATCTATGTGACCACTCAAATGACACTTTAAAGTTTTAAGATCATCATATTCACTGCTGCAAAAATTAAACAAGCACCTTAACTGTACAGACACATTACGGTTCCATGTTTGTGTGCTCCTTCTGTCTACATGAGCTCGTGACATATGCACAGCAAGGCTACTGTATGTGTTAAACTTCCTTCTGCAATCCCTATGGCCACATAAAAAAGATACATTATTATTATTTCTGTGTGTTCGGCAGTGTTTCAAGTAATCAGTCGAAGACCGAGCGTTAAAGCCACAAATGTTACAAGTCAACATTTTTAAGAGATTGAATTTGCCAATTGACGGATAGCCAGAATCAGAACAGAATCAATATGAAAACAATAAATTTATATCAGCACAGTGAAGCATATTCACTTTTCAGGTACCTTCAAATAAGTAATCTGCGTTGGGCTGCATGGGCCACTCTCTTTGGGCTGCAATGTTTTCTGCAATGAAATCTGATTCTACTTAACTATCACCCCTTTTAATTATTACCATGTTCAGTTGCATGCTAACGTAACACAGCGAGCTATAACAATACACACATGTGGCTAATTTACACACACACACACACACACACACACACGCGCGCGCGCATCCAACTTATGGGCTAACGTTAACTTTAGTTGGGCAAAAAACAAAATAACGCAAACCCCACACATTCAAATGTTACCATGAAACACACACGGCTACCAACTGACTATCGAGACCAAATTTCATGTAAGAGGGAGGGAAAAAATGGTTTTTGACATACTTACGAAGCGCAGGCGGCTGGCTAATGCTAACGCAGCTAGCAGCAAACGTCCACTCACATACACACCACTACCAAGTGCCTATCGAGACCAATTTAATGTACGAGGGGGAACAAGGTGGCACTCCATTCTCATTCTCATTCCACACAACCAACCTGTTTCCAACTTTCCTTGTGACTTGCAGAAATTTAGGTAGGCACTGACCGCACTGAAAGTAATGGCATCGGAATATTCTGGCTGGGGGAGAAAATTCTGCCTTGCGCAACAGCAAACTTTCCGTATTTCGCAAAACGGAGCGAATCCGTAGCAAATCCACGGTAAAGGGACCCCTAAATTTACGGATTTTTTTAACAGTGTACATTCTTTGTGTTTATTCTGCATTTACTTCATTATACTGCATAAATGTCTGTTACAAGCTTAAATATAAACTTGAAAAAGTCTAATTGCAGCCAGGCTATTGATCAAGTAATTGCGAATAATCGCGAATTATTACAGAAAACTGTGAGATTAATTAGTTATTTTTATTAATCTATTGACAACACTAATTATTTTTGGCACTAGACAAATGAAAAATGCATCTAAAATCAGGGTTAATGGAATTGAAATTCAAAGAGTATACGAAATTTCTTGGAGTGATAATTGATGATAAGCTTAGCTGGAAGTCTCATGTGAAAACAAAAATGTCAAAAACCATCGCTATTCTCTAGAAAACAAAGTATGTCCTGAACAAGAAATCATTATACACACTTAAATTTTCTCTGTTGCTTCCATATATGACTTATTGTCTAGAAATATGGGGTAATGCATATAAAAACAATACTCTTCCTATTTTTAAGTTACAAAAAAGAGCTATAAGAATTATAAATCAAACTATATAGATCCAATTACCATTTTGTTTATTAATCTGAATACCTTGAAATTTTATGATTTAGTTGAAAATAACATGGCAAGATAATGTATAAAGCACAAAGTATCTTGCTTTGCCGCAGTTCTCAAAAAAGAAGCAGTCAGAGAGAGTCAATATGACTTACGAGAAACAGATTTAAAAAAAAAAAAAGGACAAACATAAAGCAGAGATGTGTTTCTGTTAGAGGAGTTAACTTGTGGAATAGTTACGACAGTGATTTAAAAAGGTGTAGTTTTATTTTCCTTGTGAACATGTGTAAAACTATAGTATTAGAAAAATATATTACTCAAGAATGAAAAGAGCAAAAATAATAATACTAAAACTCTTGGTTGTTTTGTTTTGATTATTGTTATGAAATTTAATCTAATGTATTTACTTATCTAAGGTGGAAGTGTTTTTTTTTGTTTGTTTTGTTTTACTCTTTTGCTTCATGCTAAATGATCTTTTGCTAAAAGGGTTGTCATAATAAGCATGTGCTTCAGCCAATACCTTTTGATTAGCCTTGCCTCGTGCTTTCTTGCTTTGTTGTAGATCTTTATCCTGTATTCATTGAGATATTTGAATGCTAATTAAATAAATACATACCTCATTTTTAAGTGATGGTATGATATGTGTTGTACATTTTCTAATTCTCATAACTTACCATACCATACCACCTTTATTTATAAAGCACTTTAACATAAAACCAGAGTTCACAAAGTGCTGTACATGCAAATAGCATAAGCAAAGTAAATAAAAATAAGATAAAATAAATTAAATAACTAAAATAAATGAAAACATGTTAAAACAAATTGAGTCAACCCCTTTAATCAGTGCCAAAGGCTGAGGGTAATGTGCTCAGACTTTTTTGTTCCAGTTAAAAGGTGAGCTGCAGCATTTTGCACAACCTGCAGACACCTAATGGACGCATCACTAACCCCACAATAAAGTGCGTTACAATAATCCAGCCTAGAAGTAACAAAGGCATGGATTACTGTCTCAAAAAGCTGTTTCGATAAGATGGGCTTTATTTTGGCTAATTACCTCAAATGAAAAAAGCTAGATCTTACAACAGCTGTGAGCTGGCTTTCAAGTTTAACATCTGCCTCCATTTTAACTCCCAGATTAGTGATGACTGGTTTAACATACTGTGCCAGCGAACCAAGATCTATAGTAGTGGCCTCAGAAGCGCCACGAAGAACCATCACTTCCGTTTTCTGCTCATCAAAATGTAAAAAGTTCAAAGCCATCCAGGCCCTTATTTCATCAAGGTATCTGAGCAGAGGGTCTACTGAGAAGCCATTTATCTTTTTAAGTGGGAAATAAATCTGGGAGTCATCAGCATAACAGTGGAAAGAAATCCCATGTTTCCTGAAAATAGACCCAAGTGGTAAGAGATATAGGGAGGCATTCATAATAATTTGTGTGTCCTTTCCATTAATGGTCATCAAAGACTAACCATGGTGCAATACATAGACAAATCGTGATTTATGTGCATGACAACATCCGCGACAAACAAGACCCTGACAAAGAAGCGGGCCTAAAACTGAACCCTGTGGGACCCCACACTGAAGAGAAGCAGCAGAGGATACAAACTCACCGAGTTTTACAGAGAAAGTTCGGTCTGCCAAATAGGATCTAAACCACTGCAGTGCGGTACTCCTAACACCGACCAACTGCTCTAAACGCGAAATTAAAATATTATGATCCACTGTATCAAAAGCAGCAGTTAAATCT